AGAGAGAGAGAGAGAGAGAGAGAGAGAGAGAGAGAGAGAGAGAGAGAGAGAGAGAGAGAGAGAGAGAGAGATGTCCTGCACTCTTCAGTTATAGCCTTCGCTTAAGGCTTTTAGTCAAAATCAATTAGAATGGGGGTTTTGTTTACCGCTTGTATCTTTCAGTTATAGCCGTCTGTTACGGTCCTTAGTCAAACATAGAAACGATTGTGTATGTTTGTGTGTGTGTGTGTGTGTTGTGGTTGTTGCCGTCCTCCGCACGTATGCCCAAGTTACAGGCAAGCGTACCAATCAAGAGACAAACTCTTTTTAATCGTGGTTTAATCAGAAAAATAAAAACTTGGCCGGCAACTACGCCAACCCCACAATCATCAACAAGAAAAGAAATCACGTGCGCCTTAAGTTTGTGCGCCCACACACTCCCTATTCTAGTCATCCATTAAATCATCATAAACCAGAATATAGCCGCGCCTCGCGCGGTATACTTAAACTTTAAACCGAACTTATGTTTCTATCACTTGCAAAAACTAGGGCAGATACCCTTGTAAGGGTATTCGCACCGACAATGCTACTTGTCCGTATAACCACAACTCCTAACCCTAGCTTTCAACCGGGGCAAAACCACAACGTTGCCATTAAGATTCGGGATGACCAGCCTCTCTCTTACCACCTTCGGATAGAGGTTACTGCTGAGGGGACGAGTAGGCGAATAAACAATCTTACCACTCATTCGGATTTTCAGAAGATCGTAGACGAGCAATGGTGATGCTACCTCCCGACTCAACGGAAGATAACTTTTTTCGTACCTAGGCAGGTTACTCCTTCGAGGATTCACTGTGGGTGAAAGTCTTCTACTCATAGTACCTTCCGCCCTCCCTCTGGATCATCACCATGTTACCTAGGCTATTGCACGCTACCCAGACTACCAGGGTGACGACGTCCGTACCTCGGGCATAGCCCCACCTCTGAAGTGGAGGAGAACGGAGCGTCTTATGTGCCTCATCTCGGCGCCGAGGTCAACTAACCGGTAGCGCCTCAAGCGCTTAGCGCGCATGGCGATGACGGTTCCGGAGCTCTATGCTGATCACCCGGTATTGCTGCCCCCACATTGGCCGCTGGCCTGAACACCGTTTTGGCTGCTACGGGGTTCCCCTGACTATAATTAGTAGTGGTAGGTAGGTAGTGTGAGGTGAAATTTAGAGAAGAAAAAAAGGAAAAGATGGGGCACGATACGCCAATCTGGCCGAAGTGAGATGACTGTTTT